AAACTGTGAAAAAAACAAACGGTGAAAAAAACAAACAGTGAAAAAAACAAACAGTGAAAAAAACAAACGGTGAAAAAAACAAACAGTGAAATAAATAAACTGTGAAATAAATAAACTGTGAAAAAAACAAACAGTGAAAAAAACAAACAGTGAAAAAAACAAACGGTGAAAAAAACAAACAGTGAAATAAATAGTGAAATAAATAAACTGTGCAATAAATAAAAACTGAGGAAAGAGTTACGTGATGAAAAAAGGTACGGAATACAAACGGACCTGAATTAATAATCCATAAATAATGAGAATATTCAGAAACATTCGGACTCGGTTAAACAGCGGCTGTGCAGGCTGTTTTTCAAAGAATCACGTGACAGTCACGTGACAGCGGCGGGTATAAAGCACCGTTACCTTACGGAGTGAACATGTAGGTCCAGCTGCTGGATTGCAGGTTTGAGAAGATCGACCAGACCCTCAGCAACAGCGTCCTTATCCGGAGACGTTTCTACCACAGACACAGCAGCCATGACCTCCTCCTTCTTCTTCTTCTTCTTCTTCTTCTTTTATTTTGTTGGTGGATTGCAAGCAACGTTCAGGTGCATACCGCCACCTACTGAGCATAATGTGTGACCTATAGCCTCCTTTCCCTATTTTTAATATTTATATTATGTAACTAAATAAACAACGTTTTTCTAACATCACTTATTTTATCCTTGTCCCCTTCTGTTCCTAATATCTCTTAAACTAATAATTAATCTTTTAAACTCCAAACTTTCTCTGCCTCTTTGACTCTTTCATTCAATCTCTCCTTTCTTCTATATATTGAGAACACACTTCATGTCCCACACCCTCTGTTTCTGCACGTTCCTCACACCTACTGTTGTTGCTTTCCCCATCATATACATTGTATCATTTTGTTATATATATATATATATGCTACCACCCCTCAGCTCTTGTGCCCATCATGATAAAAGTGCTTAGAACATCTTGCTAAGCAGCACATTACCTCTAATCTTACTCCCTCCTTTGACCCATTCCGGTTTGCTTACCGCTCCAACTCAACAGAGGACGCCATCGTCTCATCACTCCACCTGAGCCTCCAACATCTGGAGGAGAAAAACACCCATGTACGAATGCTGTTTGTAGACTTCAGCATTTAACACAATCAATCCACAGCACCTGGTCAACAAACTGGCTGCACTAGTCTTCAACACCACCTTCAAGAACAGGATCATTGACTTCCTGTCCGTCAGACCACAGTCAAGTGCGGAGGAACACCTCCTTCGTTATCAGTCCAAACGCGGGCGTCCCCCAGGGCTGTGTTCTGAGTCCTCTTCTCTTTACCCTCATGACCTACAGCTGCGTTGCCAAGTCTGAAACCAACCATATAATTAAATATGTGGACAATACCATGGTCGTGGACCTGATTAGCAACAACAAGGATCAGGCATGGGAAGAAGTGGCACACCTTGTGAACTGGTGTGTGGAAAATAACCTGGTTCTGAATGTCAACAAAGCAAAAGTGCTCATTGCTGGCTTCAGGAAAACAAAACCACATCACACTCCGCTGCTCATAAACAACTTAGAGGTGGAGGTGGTGGAGAGCCCCAGGTTCCTGGGAGGGTGCACATAACCAATCAGCTGTCTTGAGTAAGAAACACTGAGTCCAGCATCTGCACGTCCTCCGTGGGCTGAAGAGATCACACCTCCCACCCCATGTCCTCATGAAAGTTTTATCTTCTTCCTGGATTTTTATAAAGCATTTGACATCGTAGCGCATAATTTCATATTTCAGACAAATAGAGCATTTTGGATTCAGTAAGTTTTTCTGTAAAGCTGTTAAAACTGTGTATGCCAACGGTAACCGTTCCATTAGACTAAAAAAATGGGACTTCACCCAGATTTGAATTACAGCGAGGCATCCGACAGGGCTGCCCAGCCTCTCATTTATTCACCCTGCGGACACAACTCTTATACAAATAGTCCATTAAAAGGTGTCTTTATTGCAGGTAGATAAATTACAATTAGTCAATTGGCTGATGATACCACAGTAACAACAACATAGTTTTAGTATCTTAGCTACTTAATGATAATGGGAATTTGCTTAACTACTTTGAGTTCCTGGAAATGTTTGATTTTCCTGTAACCCCAAAAGAATTAGCTCTAGTAATGATATTCCCTCTGGTACTCTAACTTTATTAAAGAGTGCTGAGAAACAGCTTGTGTTCCACATTTTGAACCCGCAGTGACTCCAGTTAGTCGTGCTTTTCAGTCAAATCCCAAAATAATAATAATAGGTCATTATTTCAAACAGAGAATACCACTACCCCTTATGTTGTTCATTACTGGACTGGAATTGTAAATGGACTGAACTGGGTCAATGTGTGGAAATTGCCATGTAGATATTTGTTTGTAAACAAAGTGAGAGAAGTGTCTTATAAATTAATTCATAGATATTCCCCTGCCAAGCAGTACGTGTTAAAATTTAAGAAAGATGCATGTATTGCTCTCTGTGTGAACCTGAACCACCTGTTCTGGCTCTGTCACACCACTGCAGCCTCCTGGAGAGAAGTCATCTGGTTTATAACAACAAAGTCCATGCTCAATAATCCAGGTATAAAATCATCTGGTTTATCCACAGAAAGATGGACTCTGTTTCTGTTTAGGTTGAAACAATGTACTGTTGGAGTCAATGATGTCAAAAGCAAAAACAGAAAG